AAAGTAAATCCTTCATTGGATTGCTCTCCATCCATACAACTTCCCAAGCAGATAAGCTAAGCTTTATCCACCTGGAATTGCTAATATTTCAAACAGTGAATTAAACATAAAAGTCCCAGTTAGCATATGGAAAAAAAAAAAAAAATCTATATTTTTGTAGTGTTGTACATGATCCCCTGTATGAACTTGGGATTCTATTGGAGTCATGTCCCCGGTCTGGAGTCCCAGGAAACCATCTCTGAAACATCCTGCTCAGGAATGGGCCTTCCCTTATGCAGCAGGGATCATACTTTAGAGATCAACCCATAGAAACAAACCAAACACCTCCAATTTCTCTCCCCATTACTCTGTGGTGTATTTTCCCTGTTTGCCCACTGCATGTGCAGGTTCTGGGCGTGTCTTCAGTATCTCACAGGGGAGAACTGAAATGGTGCCTGTAAAACACACCCTGGGGGTGAGCCCACCAGTGCGGGCACGGTGGCACTGCCTCACCCAGCCAAAGGAGACCTTAATGCCAAAGCCATTCTCATCTCCAGCTACATTTACACATCTCAGAAGCAATAACAAGGGCATCACTCTGACCTTAGGGACCAGCAGGAGAACCCACGGTGCTTCCTGCCCTCCCTGCCCTGGCAGAGACTGGCTAAGTCCAGCTCGTTCCAACCTCAGCACAACAAGGCAATTCCCTGCAAAAGAAGAACTAAAAAGACTGTCAGACTGATGACTCTGCCAGCAATGTCTAAAATGCTAAAAGGCAGAAAACAATCTCGGTAACAGAATCATCTGCAGTTAGGATCATCTCTCTCCTTCCCGAAACCGAGGCACAGGAACTATGCCTGAATTCACAGCTGATGGGAAATCTTTTGATCTTCACAGACACAGAGTTACCAGCCAAGAACAGTGAGCACAGGAGGATCTTCTGAAGAAGCACTTATCCTAAATTCAAACCACCACAATGAATGTAACGTGGCCTGGGTGTGGAGCAGTGCAGTACTGCAGTGATGGAGAACTGTGAGCATGTTTAATACAGAAGAGACAATGTTATTTATATCTCCCAAAGCTGCTTACCCAGCGTCAGATGTGCCAGGGCATAGTGCAACTGCAGGAATCCATCAGGAGGACACCTGAGATTCCTCTCCGTTAAAAGTGATGGATCTAACACAGCCAATCATCTTCATGGCAACAAATGTTCTCTTAAAAGACGGGATAAAAGTTCACAGGGAAGCTGTGCAAATTCATGAAGAGAAAAAGGCATTCCTGGTGACTGAAGGCACAGAAGCCTGTCTCCAGAAGTCTCTGTGTGCTGAAAAACGTCTGGAAGACAGGAGATGATTAGCAGGAAATGTGTGAGCTTCTCCTCCTTGTATCCTTCTCCAGACATCCATTAGCCACTGGTTTGACTGTATTTTAAGAGTCAGAACTGCTTTATTGATTGCAGCCAACAGCTGCAATTCAAAAGTGGTCCCAAACATCAAGGTAGTTTTTCCCAACAAAGACAATTTCTGAAGTTGTGTGAAATGGGATGGTGACACCGTTACTGAGACATCGGGGCCGAGGTCAGTTCTGTTCCCTGCAGCTGCAGGTACAAACAGCTCACAAATGCAGCCTCCTCCAAACCCATCCCTGATGGGTCTGCTCAGAACAACATCCCTTGCACCACCCTTGGGGTGCTGGGAAGCTCTTACAGTCCTGAAGAAGCTCCTTATCCCCTCCCCAGCCCACCCGGCTGAGACTGCACTCAGCCTTCAGGAAATGTGGTGTAGAGGCAGACAGGGCTCGAGCCACCGTGTGTCCCATCCCTTCCCTAGCACAGAAACAATTCTGGAGACAGGACAGCGAGCTGGAGTCTAATCCAGGGTGATCACTGCTGAGTAAGTAGGTCAGCAAGGAAGCTCCTGCCCATGGTCGTGTCTTCCAGCCCCCACCGCCCTCCTCACTACAAGCAAATGTGACAAACACTTCCTTTAGCAGGTTACAGGAGATGGAGGCTTTGATTCTGAGCGCTTGCATGTGTGTTCTAGAGAGATAAAACAAGTTGTGCTTAAAAAATACAACTATTTCACCATTTTAATGGCTCAGAAAGAGTTCAGTAAGGCGCTTAAAAAAATACATGGCATCTCATTACTCAGCCTGGGTTGTCAGGTTGCAGATGCTGACTAGCTCACTCACAAATGCCTTATTTTAAAATATTATCATGTTTGGCAAAACCAAAATAATTTTGCTTTTCTGCTAAAATGACTTGCTGAGCCTTAGTCTAATATTTTTCAAGAATAAGGAGTGTCTAGTGTAATTTTGTTGCAAAATCACATCCCTGTAGGTCAAAAAAGTTTCCCAGTCCTTCATATGCTCTTGAAACAGAAGTTCATACCTCGAGTTTCTGAAGAGCCATTTTTCCCTGCTAACCCCTACTGCCAAGGTTCTTCTTCCCCCCTGTGAAGACAGACCCATTCCCAAGCCCAGGGCAGGGTTGCTGTGCTCTAACTGGCTCATTTGTGCAGGTAAAGATATTAACAGACAGGACAGAACTCCTGAGCCTTCGCTGTTTCACCTCAGAGAACTCTATTTTACTGGTGACAGTCTTTCTGATTATTTAATTACTCTTCACTCATCCTCTCAGAAACCTGTTCAGCTCAGAGATGTCTTTAGGGCAGCCTGTGCCAGAACTGGATAAAGTATCATTTCAGCAATTTCAGGAGAACTAAATGCAGATGCACCAGCCTCTGTTCCTGTTCAATATTTCATTGTTTGCACAGTAGTAAGACTCAGATTGTGCACACACATGCAGTTAATTATCTCCATGGCAAGTACTGCTTCATGCAGCCGAGTCCTTTATCCTCACACATGGTCTGTATTCCTTGTTCCCAAACATGTAACTTTGCATTTGACTGTACTAAAGCATTCATTTACACTTGATTTATCTAGAGATCCAAATTTGTGTCACTTTTCTGTCTAAAAAAACCCCCAAATCTGCTAAAATGGGATACTCCATTTCTCCCAGGCCAGTAACCTCAATGCTTTAGGACGTGGCCAACAGTCACTCCAAGGCTGTGCCAACTGGATCAAGTTCCCACTTGGAATTGCACTGAGACCTCCCTGTTTGTCATTTGTTAATCCTTTTAACATTTGCCACAGCAAATTTGTATCATACCAGTTTAAATTGTCATTTGGTATTAAGTCAAACACCTTACAGAAGTCTAGGGTATGATGCATCCACAAGCAAGCTTGTCAACTCAGAATGAGATCAAAAGAACTTGATAAGTCCTCCATAAATCACTGGAAACTGGTATTAACAGCATTTCTCTCAGGTCCCAGAAGAGCTCTGCATTTATTTTCTCTATGATCACCACCACAGCACTACGTCCTAAAGGGGCAAATAGAACAGACTGGAAACTTTGTGCCCTGATTTCCTGTAGTCCCAAGACTTGTCAACTGTCAGACCAAGGAATTTTTGGACAGTTAAAAATAATCTCCTGTGCTAATTGTAGAAGACTGCTGAATCTGAAGTGTTTGGCCATGGCATTGCTGCTTAAACACCCGAATTTCAATGAAACAGCAATAACTAAAATTACTGCCAGCAATTCCATCCTTGTGTCTCCCCAGGGTGTATTTGTGTGCTTACCCTGATGAAGTCATTTACCTTGATAAAGAAAACACATTTTTATATTACAGTTAAAGCTTGTTCCAGGACAAAGCAAATGTGCTTGCACATGGCATTTACATGGATGCTCCAGGCAGGCAGTGAGACACTGTCATGTGCTGAGCAGAGTCTTGGCCCCCGATTTCCATCCCTGGGGTCACACACCGCCCTTGTGAGAGTCACAGCTACAGCACAGGGGGTGGGAGAGAAAGGGAAGCTGCTTTACTACCAGATGCATATGTTAAATTTATTTAGTGATACTTCAGGGCAGTGCTGCTGGGATTCCTGCCCTGCTATAAATAAAAGCCTTATTGTGAGGAGCTAATAGAATGATTGAATTAGGGTGTAAGAATTGTTCAGGCGCCGTAAATACCCAGAGCACCAGAAACATCCACAAAATTAACTAAATCCTGTCCTCATACTCGAGTTACCAGGTTTAACCTCTGTGTTTCAGGGTGTGCATGCAGATTTTGAGGAAACCATTTTCTTTGTACAGAAATCCACTCTCTCCACTGTAAGTTGAAAGAAAACCCCGCATGCTCTGAATGTACAATATTTTCATTGTAAAGCTCTAGGCAGCAGTCACTGCCTCCCTGACTGGTGCCATTACACTGGTGAGCTCACAGGGATCCCAGTTTACAAGGCATTCCACGCACAGAACTAACAGAGTCGGGCTTTAAGGGACCCCTGCCCCATGGCCCCCTGCCTCCAGCATCTGGAGAGGGTGTCAGCTCCACCTAATGCTGTTTTCCTGACAGAAAATAATAATTAAGCAATAACAATAGAGGTGGCAGCTGTCAGCTCCGGGCTGGTTTTGGTGCTTCCTAAGCAAAAGAAGTCTGAGAGGAAGGTATGTTAAGGTTCAGTGCAGACTGTAACTTTTGGAGTGTGCCTTGCACATATTGCCCACTTAGTGTTTCCAGAGAACTGTTTTATCATTTCGGAATCTGTCCAAAAATCCAGCTTGATGGAGAGCTTTGAACTTTGCAAGGGGGAAGGAGTGTACAGCCAGGATATAGAAATAACATGTACAGTTTGTTTTTAACATTCAGAAGAAATTCAAGCTCTAAAATCACAAAACGAGAAGATGAAAGTTACCGCCTCGAAGGTCAGTGGAGGTATAAAAGAAGGAAGAAGTAGTGAACTGAGAAAAAAGCCTCTCTCACAATGTAGTTTAAATATAAACACACTGTTTTGGTTTGTTAAAACCAAAATTTCATGCTTCACTTGAACTCAGTTTCCTTGATTTATGTTATACCCACCACATGTAGTCACCCTCCGCTCTGGGACACTCCTGAGGCTTAACACTCAAGGCTGAGCACTGCTTGTGATTAATTCAAATTGTCTTTGTTCTTTCCACCAGCTCCTACTCCAAAAGACGGCAAGAAAAAGGTGAGACTAATTTTCGGAGAATTCTTTTGATTTTCAGTATCAGTTGATGTTTAATGATACCATTAAAATCAATCAGTTTAAGTGCAGACTACAGCCTGTATTCCTGGAGCGAGATTGCTTCAAGTACTTTATGAGACAATACACTTACTGTTAAGTTACATGTATTAGCTCAGGATATTCAGAGAGACACTTATCATCCCTACAACAAGAGAAAATACTCCAAATTTAAAGCAACTCTCCGGAATTTAAGCTGTAAATTATCCCCATGGACTCTGTAAGCTCCACTTCAGTCACAGTAAATTTATTTCAGATACAGCAGCAAATTTAATTTTTAACAAACAAACTGCAAATAATTCCTCTCTCAAACCATGCAAGCCAGGTGGAAAAGGTGGAGATAATTAGATCCAATATAGAGGCTTAAAGAGAATAAATCCCATTTTCCTCTTTTCAGGGGAAAGAAGAGAGGGGACAGGAGCTGTAGAAATACAGAGACAGAGATTATGCACTCCGTTAAGAAGTAGGTCCCCTGCTCTCACTTCTGTTGGTTTAAAGTTATAGGTGCCCCCATAACTTTATTATTTTTTAAGTGAACTTTATAAAGGAATCTGAATCAGTATAAACACCCTTAGTTGCAGCTATTGAGAATATGAATATCCACAGGAGGAAAGGCTTTTCCACAACTGCAGTTCTGATACATTCAAAGCTGTTTTAAGGAACACTAAGTCAACTCAGCATCCATAACCAGTGTTACACTTCTGCAATTCATTAGTCCTTGTGGTTCCATTTCGTAATTAAAATACTTTGCAGTTTAAGACTTTACAGTAAAGAATGTGCAGTCCTCAGCAGTGTTTCCACTGCCAGTCTATGGAAAACATATGCATGGAAAATATGTACAGTGCATGTATACAGCCATCTTTGGATAGCTTCAGTGAACATTCAACGCTGTCGGTGAGTTTGAGAACTAGAAAAAACCATCGACCGTTGACTGTACCTTGAGGTTTATCACAAACCCTCTGTTGAATGGAAAGCCTGAACCTTCAGAGATTTCACATGTGGTTGCCATTAACAGGTCATGATTTACAGATTATATTAAGAGCTACGGAGGTTGAGTTTTTCCAGTTCTACTTTCTCTAAAAGTGAATTGGTGCATAAGAAATGTTTGTTTTCCCTTAAAAAAAAATCAAAACTTTATACTAGAGCAGAATTTCCACAGAACAGAGTATGAGAGCAGTGGAAGGTTTTGTATGGGCAGCACAAAAGCAGGAACATATCCGCACCATATGGTACACTTGGAAACAAATCTGAGCGCGGTGTATGTTCAAAATAGCAGAATACAGGCCAGATCAGGAGGGAAACCTCGTTTCCATTTGGGCTGGCAACTTGAGCTTCGCTGGAAAAAGCTTTGGAATGTCAGTTCATGTGCTCGCAGGAACCTGCGCTCGATTTCAGCAGCTGCTCACCGGGAACGCCGGGCAGGGACCGGCTCCCTCCCGGCCGGGCCCAGCTGCTCCCGCGGCTCCGGCTGTCGCTTCCCAGCCAGGCAAGCAAGGAAACACCCTTCCTTTGAAAGGAACGGAAAGCCAAGGACTGGGGCACCTCAGTGGTACCTACGTGGAACCTTCTCCACCCCAGCTGGGGGATCAGGGGTAGGACTGTGGGCTCCGAGAGCCTGTGCCTTCGGAGGGTGCAGGCACTTGTTTTGCCCCCACGGCACTGCAGGACCCATGAAACACCAAAAGGATGTGCCAGGGAATGTTGTCTTGAGCTGCTCTAGGAGATCTTGTAACATCCATCCTTCTGCTTCTGTATACAGTCACAGATGGGCAGGATTAACAAAAGAGATACCTGTCTGAGGCCCAAGAGAAAGCACAGGCTGTTGAAACTTAAGGCTGTTCCCTCCTAGCACACCTGGCATCTTCATGTGCGTCTATCAAATGACCAAGGGGCATCAAACAGGCCTTTGTGTCAGTAGAAGGGGGTGCAGCTGGTAGTCACCTCCACCATCAGAGCCTTCCTGCCATCCAGGAGGTCTGACAAATCCTGAACCACGCAGAGTTCAGCATCTGAAGCAGCTGCTCGAAGTGATGAACCACTTGTCAAGAGCAGTGGGTACCTCAGGAATGGTGGTGGGGTGGTGATTCTTTCAACAGCCAAGCAGCAGCCTCAGGGAGGACATGACAAATGCTCTCAAGCAGGATGTCTCATGCTGGTGTACTGTGAATACTCCTGGGATGAGGCCCAGCCCTCACGGAGTTAGAAAACATTGTGCTTCTAAAGAATTCTCAGAAAATAATTAAAATGCAAGAATAGGGAAAGTTCAGTGAATGTGCCATTTTCAAGCCCTTGGTGTATGCAGAGTCGAGAACCATAAACTTCAAACCAGGTGTTCCCAGCTGCAAAAATCTGTAGTAAAGTGGATCAACCAAGCAAAAATAATCATCTTTACAAAAAAAAAAGGGTGATTTACGTTACTTTTAAGGTAGTTTCTCAAGAAGATTCTACTACTCTCCCAGTCAAAGTGTGCTTGCCAGAGCCACCAAGACTCTGAGGAGCCCTGAAATAGCTGTATGTCCCGAGGTCAAGATGACTGCAAAGGGACTGTTCCCTGTGACAACACCCTCCCAGCAGAGCAGCATCTTCAGCACCTCATGGCTGCAATCAACATTCATTGCTGTCGGTGGGTTTTCATTTCTATCAACTCACTGATCAATGAATGCAAACTGCGGACCAGCCAGCCAAGGACCAGCCTCCTACAGCCAAGGGCCAGCCTCCTACAGCCAAGGGCCAGCCTCCTACAGCCAAGGACCAGCCTCCTACAGCCAAGGGCCAGCCTCCTACAGCCAAGGGCCAGCCTCCTACAGCCAAGGCCATGCAGGCTCGTATGGCCTGGGCAGTTTTCTGGCAAGAAAAGCAACAGTTTTGCCAAAGAAGTGCTTATATCCAAGTTCTGCCTCCCAAAACCATGTAAGGCAGGTCTAGGGCTGTGCCATTATCCTGCCAGAGAGGTTCAGGACATGTCATCCAGCTCCTTCATGAGCAAGTATGAGTGCTAAAAGCATTATGTAACTTAAGAACTGCACAGGGATTTTTAAAGGGGCAGAACAGGTGAGGAACTAACTCAATTTTAATAAAAGTTATGCCCAGCTGGTAAATATCTCACTTTCAGTAAAGTGTAAACCTACAGGTTTACCTGGTTATAGGAAATGAAACTTCCTCCTAAGTGAGCCCAGCTATGGAACAGCACTGGGTCCTACAAAGTGACCAGTGAGATGAGAAAGGACTGAGGCTGTGGGGCTTTGGATTGACAGGGCAGGAATGGGACAGAGCAAGGCAGAAAATAGCCACTGATTTAAGGTGCTGCTGCAGAGAACATTCTCCATGGCTGGGGTGGGCAGGGCCAGCTTTGATTATAGTGGAAGGGTTCAGGAGCTGGGGCTGACTGCCTGGGGCAGGCAGGGACCCTCCTGCCCTGCAGCCGTGCAGGGAGGAGCACACACATCTGTCTGCAGGACAGACAGAACTGACACTGCCTTGAGACAGAAGAGCAACCTCTCAAGCTGCCCTCCAAGTATTTTTTAATGACTGGCATGACATAGCTGTGCCCAGGAATGCCACTGTGGCTGGGCTGTGCAATGCAGTAAAGGCAGGAGGCCCCTGGGTTGCCCCCACGCTCTGAGGAGGGGCCACTCAGACCAGGGATGGTGGACCCCTTCTGCTCAGCAGTGGTATCACTCAATTCCCTGTGCAGTAAAGGGTCCAAGCACTTCCCTTATGCCTTGTTTCCTCCTCCAGTTGTTTACAGGCTTATTCTGAAGCAGCCTGTTGAGGCACGCTATGCTGATATCCCACAGGAGCCATCTCCCTCAGCTCGCTGTACAGTTCAAGTCAGAACAACTCACTAATGACTTTTAAACTCCAGTTTGGTGAATATTCAAAATAAATCTGTGTGCTTGTTCTGCTAAAAGACTTGAACTTGTTCAATCTTACGCAGGAACAACTCCACTGAGTTCAACAGTTACACACTCACAGACTGAACTTTGCAAAAGTGGAGCTTTAGGAAAAAAATCTCCCCTCTCCCTGAGCCTGACAGTGAAGGGCTCTGTTCAGTCACCCAAAGCGAGCACTTCCACCGACACCATGGGTAAGTGTGGTGCTTTGATAGAGGGAATTTACTACAGTACTGTAACAGTGAGCAGCCCAGAAGCACGGCTGCCAAATTGTTTTAACATTATCAAAACGAGGATGACTCATTTTTTATGCAGTTTGACATTTTGCCTTTGAAATCTCAGATTTTTCAGCATGCTTGGCAGGCTCCCTCGGAAGTGAGAGTGCACAATTTGGATTTTTTCCAGCGACATCTTACACGATGTACAAGAAAGTACTTGTGCGTTATTTTAAACAGACATTTCGGCCAACTGGTTTCCCCCACGTACACTTGTATGAAAGTACAAAATACAGAAGTCCCGACAGAGGTGTTCATCTCTACTGCAAGGACATGTGAAAATAATTCACTGCAATTACTCTAAGACATTTCAGACAAACAGGGAAAACTACAGCAAAGGGGCCATCACCCTGTTTGCCAATGCACAACAAGCCAAAGGCTTCAGCAGACACTCCACAGATCTTAAAGACTCTGGGTGCACAAATAAGCTTAAGAATTCATTTTCCTACTCTGCTTTAAAAAAGTCCTCAGGATTTTTTTTTTTTTTTTTTTTTTTTTTTTTTTGCTTTAATCATGTTTGGTAATGAGACAGCAAGGGAAAAAAAACTTACTAAGAGAAGACAGGTTAGCAGACATGTTCAGAATGTTTTTAAATCCATGCTTGGGAAGTTTTAGATGTTTGTGGCACCAACTGTTCACTCCCTACCAGAGCCACCCCCCCACAGATCCACCTGCCCCGGAGCACATCAGGGTGATGCTGAGCACCAGCACGTTCAGTGCTGCCGATGCAGACGTGGGACAGCTGGGGCTGGAGAGGTCTGGGATCTGCCCCAGCAGAATTGCCAGGGCTCATCTCTCCATCCTGGAGGCTCCAGCAGGCCTTCCAGCACTTCGGGGACCCCGCTGCCCACCGGGTGCCCACCAGCACCAACGGGGGGATCGAAAGACAGGGAGACATCAAAAGAACTCAAGGAGCTCGGTTTATTTAGTTTATCAAAAGTTTATATAAAGATCTTCATAGGGAACAGATGTTTGACAAGCATTTTTCAGTTTAGCAAAAGATAACACATGAAAGCTGTGGCTAGACAAACTCAGAGCAGCAATAACATACAGTTGTTTAAGGGGAAAAGAAGGTCATTCAGTTCATATTGGACAGCTTTGCTCTTAGTATTGGCAGATACATTCTGCTGGGAGAATACTGTGGAAAATTCAGTTTTGTTTTAATTCCCTTTAATGCAGGAGAGGCCTGAATGCAGTAAATCTGAGCTATGTCAGCCACAAAGGCTCAACAGAATATTAGCCAATATATCAATATAAACTACACATCTCTAAATGACAAATTATTGTACATATGCATGTGGAATTATCTGTTTCCACATAAAAATGATCAACGGCATGAAAACCTGGCTAGATGCCTACAAAGGTGTGTTTTATTAATCAACAGGCAAATAACTGCAGAGACATTTACAACTGGGAGCCTGCCATACCTGCATTCCACACAGCTGTTCTCATGGCAAAGGAGAACAGCTCCACATATTCCCACTGTAGGGGAACCACAGTTCTCCCAAGTTCCCCAACAGAAGTGCAAGTCCACCAGCACAATGGCAAGTGGAAGGGACAATGTCCTGGCTCTGGAGGGCTTTTAGCAGCTTGAACATCTGAGCATTATTTCTGAAATGAGCTGTCTGTTTGAAATTGCAGATTTGAAAAATCCACAGGGTTCCCAAACAGTGAGATGAGAAGCTGCCCTGAGTGAGGGGCTTGCAGAGGCTCAGCCCTCTGTTAAGGACACGGTTTCCCAGTCCCACCAGTCTGACAAGGGCCTGTTGCCATCTAGTGGATTCCATGGACTGGTCCCTCTGCACAGCAAAGGCCACTAGATGGAGCGTTAAGAAGGAATTCTGAATTCCTGTTTTTCAGGTGTCCAGCAGCTCAGATTTTCAAAGTCTCAGAAAGTTACAGGCCCAGAATTACCGTGAAATTGCAGAGGATTCCACCAACTGCTCTCAGTTCCATGAGAAATTCCAGGCTCTACCTTTCCAAGTTTAATACTGAAACACCACAGATAATACTTCCCTGTCAACAGAATTTACCATCACCTCAGAGGTTTATATCCCTCACATACAAGCATCTACTTCATTGAGATACCTCTGGTGACAAAGGATCTTACACAACCTGCATTCTGCTGGTGGAAATAATCACATACAGACCTGGTCTGTGCTACTTTTATGAAAAACACTTCATCAGCTCTCAGCTATGGGAAAACTCCACTTCCATGAGTAAGCATTAGCTCTAAAACTTCCCGAAGTCTGCTATGGAGTATCAGTTCACATCTCTGGATTATCTCAGAATGAGAAATTCCACCTTATCATGTGGCAAGAAAAGGGGTACTTACTGCCCATGGAGTTCATAGGGAGGACAGGAGAGGAGGAACTCATCTGCTCCACATCTGTAGCTAATGGGAAAGTGAAAATAAGAAAGATGTGATGTGCATGTTACCAAGAAGTTTTTATTTTGAAAACTTTCATTTACACTTAAATTGAATATGCTTGTCTTTGGTCACCTGAGGAAGCTGCTTTAGAAGCAGGTAGTTTTTAACAGCATCAGCCTTCCCTCTTTCAAGATATGTCTATCTCATCCACTTTATCTATAGATGCACTTTTCCAAGCATTTGTACTGGTAATCTGTAATTTGTGATGGTTTGAGAGTGTCAATTCAGAACAACTTCCAGCACAAAAATTCTGGATTACATCAGCTTTAAACTGCATTCAGACCATTACTGTGGAATGAAAAGACATGATGATCTCCCATCTGTGTCCAGTGCACTTTTAAAAGATTCCAGATAGGAAGAGAGATCCTCTTCCAAAGGGAGGCAAAATGATGGTATTTGATCTGGAGCAGCATCAAAAACAAGTGTTTTTCAACACAAGACACTCCAAAGCCTTATTTTCTAACAGCTGAAAGAAGAAACAGAACTTCCTGCCTGTGTTTGCCAATGAAAAACCCCAAAGTCAGAATGTGATCCAAACCAAATGCCAGATGCCCTCTGTGTTTTGGGAAGGATCCACCTTTCCAGGACCCAAACCAGGAAAGACCTATCTTCCAGTAACAGGGTCAGCTTTAACCCAAGATTAGGTAAACCAAAGATACATTCTTTGGGGCTTGATCTCTGTGAAAAGACCACAGCCCCTCTCAGCACATCACCACAAACACCGAAGTCAAGCAGATCAGTCTCCCTCTTCATCCCTTTGGTGCTGGCAGAGCCCACATAATTATATACTCTGTAACTCCTGTTTAGCTTTAAGACCCAGTAAATGCACACTACAAGTTACATTCCTAACCACAGAACACAGCCCCAGAAGCACAACTCCAGCCCACAGCCAGGCTGTGCTGCCAGCCCAAATCCTGCCTTTCACATTCCTGCAATTCCCATTTCTCTGGCAGGAGGCAGTTCCCCGAGGATCACTGTTTACACTGAAAAGTGCAAAGTTCTGCTCTAATTAGGCAAACCACAAACAAATGTAAACACTTCAGCAGACCATTTTTACAGAACGTGAGAGCAGACACAGCACCACAGTGACTTAATCCTCCTGCCGTGCCTTCCCACCTCTCCGAGCGCCTCACCGAGGAGCCTCCGAGGAGTAGCTGCTCACAGCACCAGCCACCAGAGCAGCAACAAACACAGTCACAGATTTATTCAGCAATGCCCCGGGTCGTTCCTGTCCTATTCCCCAGTGAATCACCAAGGCATTTACTGCCTAGAACATCCACACATTCATTTATCATCTCGCTGTGTTCAGAAAGCTGCACGTGACGCCGCCTGCACCTTCCAACAGGCACAATCCAGAGGACACTGCACAGGCCTGTGGTGTGCTCAGAGGAAAAAACGATTTTGCATCTTCCCATTTGCCACCTTAGTCTCTCTAATGTGGGAATTGCTGACCCTCCAAAGGAGCCAGCAGCTCCCACACTATACCTGTGTTTATAAGTTAAAAAGGACTCTTCATATGCAGCACAGCCATTTCAGATCCCTGGGAAGAGTTTTGTACTTTTCCCTATTGAAAGCTACATGTGCTTTCACGTACAGCCAAATTAAGCCAACAAATAAGCACAGTTTAAAGTTACTTTTAATCTTCTGTGAGTGGCAAGATTTAGCCGGTGTAGATTCAGCACTGAGCACAACTCAGCTTTCAGAAAGGTTGAAGGCCCAGCTCAGCAGATGGTCACTCAGGGGTTACCTGCTGCTCTGGCACACAGAGGTCACTGCCCAGCACGGGGGACAGATGGCACAGGGCAAGCACTGAGAACCCATTGTGTGAGCAACAGTCACTCGGGAGAAAGCTACACCTGCCAACATCTGGAATAGTTTATCAAGTATCATTCAAAAAGCAACTAAATATTGCACGTGCCTTCTGAAGAGAGCTTTCTGAGCGGGGTTCGGAGAAGGACAGTGCAAATTCTTTTAAGTCCTTTAGGTTTAGATTGTTCATGTTATAGGCTGCCAATAACAAAGTGTAACTATTTCCCAGCTCTGCTTGGGAAGGATAATTTCAGTTCACACTTGAAATTATGTATTTTAACTATTTCTAATATGTTCACCAAGGCGGACACCGCGGTCACCACAGCCCGGCTGCTCAGGTTGGAAGGCAGAATTCCCTCAGTGTCCTGCCCAGTGCTGCTGGGAACCTGGTGATGCCACACCCGGGGCACGGAACATGGCACGGCTCTGGGATCGAAGAGTAGCAACACCTCAACACTTCTGTTCCTGTGTTACTGGCAGATGGTATTTATAATGTATTAATCTCAAAATCACACTTGGATTTTTTTGTAAGTGTATAAAAGCACAACTAATTATCCTACACCTGGCCTTGGATAGGAGCATTTAAAAATTTCTCTCAATATTAAAAGAATTCAAACAGCTCTTTATGAAACATGGCAATGCTGATTTTGCTCTCTTATCCATAACTCCCTCTCCTCCAGCCCTTTTTACCTTCATAATGACATGCAACACATTAAACTCCTAAAATCAATTCAGCTAAGGAAGAGGAGATATGGATTAACAACCAGCTAAGATTTTGGAAACTGGTTTGCTCTAAAAGATGAAAAGGACAAAAGTCTGCTCAGCTATGAAGAGCAGCTGCTGCCAATACAAGTATTTACCCCCTGACCCCTCCTCTGCCCACTCAGTGAACAGTGCCAATTGTTTTCCTGTATTATACACTGTTTACAAGCCCTGAGTGGCATGAAAGGAATTAATAATTCAGCTCATGGAGCTGATGACCTTTATTGGGGTACCCCTATTTGCTGAGTAGGAATCAGAGCAAAAAGCTCCCTTGAAGCCACAGGGTTTCTTTAAGAGTTTTTCACTTTACAGCCTAATTGGCCACCATAACATAAATCAATTATTTCTCCTGTTTTAAGCAACAATGCTACCTATTCTCAACCACTCGATTTCTAACTTCTCTTGTATCAAGCCAGGCCTTGTTCTTTGACTTTTACAATGGTCTGGTAAAGACACTGGCAAGGCCAGCCTGGAGAGCTTCGCAGGACCAGGAACATTTGGGAACCCCAGCAAAAAGAGGTTATGCTATTTTGAACTTCTCTTGACCTTTGCCTGCCCTTGTCCCTGGTTATGCTAATTGAAGGGGTATATGGGCTACTCCCAGAAATGAACTTAGCCTGAACCTGTGACACAGCATTGGACTTTGAAGATGAGTTTGGCACCCCCTCCCCAAAGGCTGTCATCTCACGTACAGGAAGGGACAGCAGGTGAAACACAGTACCCTGAGCACTGCAGGGAGACCCCAGGTGAGAGTGAGCAGAACGTGCTGACCCAGTTAGTCACATCTTCCCCCGTGCCCAGGCAGCTGCCAGGGACCAATGGCATGGATCCACGTGGCAAACCCACAGCTGTGCTTGTGGGGCTGCAGACAGAAGGACATGGTCATAGCACAGCCTCCACAGGCACAGGGTATTGCAGGTGTGACTCTGTCATATCCCACAGGAGGCACTCAGTGCTCCTCTCAACCTCCTGGCTCTCAGACCAGCACATGATGGGCTGTCACCACCACAAGCACATCCTGACTCACTGTGAGGTTCTCCAGGACCCCAGGTCACCCTGCCGAGCTGCTCCCCAGCCTGTACCATTCCATGGGCTTATTGCATTCCAGATGCAGGACTTGGTGTTTGTCTCTGTTTAACTTTGAAGTTTCAATCAACCCTTTCCTTCAGGTTATCAAGGTCCTCCTGAACAGCAGCTGTGCCCTCATCGTGGTGTCATCTGCAAGTGTGACGAGTGTGTCCATCCCATCATCCCCATGGCTGATGAAATTGCTAAAGAGTATTGGCCCTAATATTGACTCCCAAGGACAACCACAGCATAACAGGCCGCCAGTTAGTGCTTGGACCCTTGACTGCCACCCTTTGAACAAAACAGCCCAGTTTGTCACCCAGTTTGTCTACAAGGATGATATGGCAGAGACTGTGTCAAAAGCCTTGCCTAAAGTTAAAGTTAGTGACAAAATTACTGTCTCCTCATTCATGGATCCAGTCATTTCACTGCAGTAGGAATGAGGCTGGTCAGGCATGATCTTCCCTCAGTAAACCCACAGTGACTGTTCCCAATTACCCTCCTATTCTTCGAGTACCTGGAAGGGTCTTTTGGGAGGATTTGCTCCATACCCTTCCCACTGAAGGAATGAGACGAGGATGACCAGCCTGCAGTTCCCCAGAGCAGCTACTACTGAGCAGAGCCGAGTTAAAGGTGATTCATTGTCCCTTATCAGCTCAATTTTACTATACAGAGACATTCCTCCCCTTTCCCCTACATTGGGTAGAGCTTGCCTTACCTCAACACTGAAAACACACACTGTTTGCAGAAAGAAGTGGGAAGTAAGGTCATTGTGATAAATATTTTTACTCATTTTCCTTCACACAGAAAACAATCCCAGTTCCTGCTTACCAACAAAACTGAAAGGAAACCTACACAGAGTTGAATGTTCCATGAACCTGCACTGCATTCCTCAATAAACACTCTACAGACATTGTTATTTTAAATGCCTGTTTACATTCCAGTAAAATTCTGTCAGCATGGTATCTGATTTATTGATGCCATCAAAAGTCACAGGATTCCTGACGTGCCTCCTGAGGCACAAAAATCAAAGCAGAAAGGAGCTGCACGTTGCTGTGGTATCAGCATTACCCCATATGGGATGGGATGGGTTTCCAGAAGCTGCCTGTGTTTTCTGAGGCAGAGCACAGTGTGCCCTTCTGGAAAGCTGGTGCTTCCCTGGGAGATTTAGCAGGCTCTGCTCCTGGGAAAAATGGGGTGGTGTGGATGGAAGTGCCAGCCCTTGGTAATAGCAAGGTGCATCAGGGCAGGTCATTCCTCTAAAGGGGGCTCAGACACATTTGCATCTTATTTTACACTTTTAGGCTACCAAAAGAGCAAAGTTTATACACAGTCAAGCAGCAAAGCTTTTTAGAAAAATGATGATGATGAAAAGAGCCTCGAGGCATGTCCTAAAATAAAAGTGATCATCTGTTTCAAATCCAATGCCTCTCGGCATGCAGTGCCCTATCCCACAGGCTTTGTCCCTGGGCATAAAATTTTGCATCTTCTCTACCTGGAGTATGTTTTGGTTGACCAGGATATTGCCCACCAGGCAGCCCAGCCTACTCCAATATTGGAAGATCAATTGCATAATCATTCTGTAAATCTGGGGAAATTCTTTATTGACTTTTTGATCACTGATAAAGTGTTGGCCAACACAAGGCATATTACTGTAGCAAAATCCCATCTAGAGTCCACTAGAGTTACCTTCATTAAAAAACCAGAATTGTCTGATATTATACAAGAGATGATATTTTTTTAAGAGTTAATATCAACCCAGATTAATATTCATCTACTGATAGTTAATAGCACATTATGATATACAGAATATGCCAGAAATCATGTTGCAAATTACTCAGTGTTCCCAGGGGTGAGTTGTTCCAAACCCCAACCAGTGCACCAGACTGGAAACACCCCCGTGACTGGACCTTTTCACCACAGCACAGGTAACGTGCCCGTTTGATCCAGCAGCCAGTGCAGGAATGGCACTGACTCCCTGGGATCCCGGAGAAGCACCGACATGTGATCAGTCTGAAAACAGCTGTTTGCCCTAACCTCGAGGTTAATTAATTTCACAGCATTTATCTCCCAATTTTAATTAGTGGAGCTAATATTACAGCTCCTGACTGTAATGGACTTGAGCTGCACTCTGCCAGGACCTGGCTGGCTGCACCAGCCCTGGGATCAGGAGGCTGGGCAGTACTTAGGGAGTGAACTGTGCTCTGAGGATCACGACAGAAGCCTTGCATATGAAAAATAGGTACAAGCACTACACATTGGAACAAGCTTCCTCATTGTTACCACATGTACACAGAAGCACTGCATCATCCAAATCAACCACTGGGTGTATAATTAACATTAAATCAGCACTAGAGGGAAAAGCTTCCCAGCTGCCTGGTGCAATGTGCTCCTGCCATGTTCAGCCACGGCACAGGATGGGCAGTGGCAGCACATGCTCACTGTCACATCAAACCTACTGCTGGCATTTGGGATTTAAACCTGCGAGTCCTGTGGTTCAGCACACGGGAGGGACGTGTTAGAATATGAAATCCTCTGCACTGTAAATCAATCCCCAGAGCCACGGCTCTCCCTGCACGTCGTACAAGGACCAAGGCACAAGGTGAACACTCAGAGTGTCAGTGTGGGAACAGTGGTGGGTGTTACTCTCCCATTTTTGGGAGGTCTTCATTTCCCACAGGCCACCTGGAAGTGGCTGTGGCTCATGCCAACAGCTGCAATACCTGACCAGTCCTTCAGACTCCAGGTTTCGTTACATTATTGGTTCCAGTGTCCTGCTCGTGAAATCCAGAGACCCACAGCCTCACCCAGCACTTCCCTCAGCCCCACCAACACCAGGATCCCGGGTTTTGTTGGAGTGAAAGGCTTACTTACATTAAGCATTTGGCCTCCCAGGGACAGGGATTACAAACGGGCAGGAATCAAGGGAAATTGGATTCTTTCTCCCCACCTACCTCTCTGCCTCCTGTCTCCCATGTTTGCAAACCGTATTAGCTCCTGCTGCTTGCAATTCCAGAAACACTTCCCTTTCTCTTCGGGGCTCATTCCAGCCACATCTGCCTACTGCTATAATCTCATTTTGCAGGACACCACATCTCGTAGTAGCTTTTAATTCTGGTAACACATCTAAGCGTCTTAAAAAGCACACCAGAAACTGTTTGACAGAAAATGTTCATCAGGACAGAAGCACCATTCCTAGCACTTGGATATTTGTGGATATTTGTCTCCACTTATACTGGGAAATCACCTTAAATACAGGAAAAATATCTGCATTTTTAAAGAGGAGGCTCCTAATCTTTTCAAGGGGAAATTCAATCTGGATTGAATTTAGTATATACAGCTGCTCTGAAGAGCAATCTGAAATCTTAATTCACATTTAATCTAACTTAAAAAAATAATACAGGACTTCATGTTTTGCTGATTTTCATGAAAAGGCAGCAAACGCAAATGTTGCCTCTTTTAATCTCGGGTTTTAAGACGTATGATTACAAGTTTTACAATTCCAAAATAATTGTTACATACATTGCTAAGGGGAATCTATTCTTTCTTTTCAAGCTGCTCCCCACTGGTGCTCCACAGATGGCCACGTTCTGCTTGGGCAGTGGTGGGTAGGGCTGGTGACCCAGCACCCCCTGCACCCCCACCCAGCCACACCTGAAACATCTCAGAAAAAATCACCCCAGTGTGATCTGCTGCCTCGTGGACTAAACAAGATGAGAAAGGCTGTGCACTGCCATTTATTTTGCCATAATTGTGGCATTTCTTACGCAGCAATTTTTGTAGAGGTTTCCCCAGAAAAAAACAAAGCTACAAACAACTCTCTTGTTCCAATTTATAGAATCTTGCTAGATTATTTTCTAGTATTTCTTATTTGAATTCAAATTATTTGAATTTCAATGTATTTGAATTTCAGATTATTATTTGAATTCAAATAACCCCTGTCCACATGCTACAATAAAATATTCCACAGATATTGACAACTACTGTTTACTTATTGTTGGGTAACCTATATATCTATATATATATATCTATATGTATCTATACATATATTTTTTAGCATAACTCAAAGATGAAAAAAGAGGCCAAACACCCAGAGGTGCAATTCTTTCCCAGCACCAGTTTGCAAGAGAAGCTGTTTCCAACTTATGTTGTTTCATGAAGAAAAAGTAAAATTTTAAAATTCTGATCCTCTAGATAAAAACATGCTGCAGCTGGACCTGCCACATCAGAACACAGAGGTTTGGGAACAGGAAACAAACCCTTCACCTGCCAGCTACAGAAAGGTAAAGAAAAAGTATCTCAAAACAAACCAGCTCAGCATTACTGGAAACAAAATCTTCAGTGCAGGCTGGAGCTGCCAATACAACGTGAGCTGCTGTCTGCCCAGTTTGCCTCTTCCAGAGGACGAGTCCTTTCCACTGAGGAAAGTTCCCACTTGTGAGTAAGGACAAACACAACCCTTTCCTTCTGTGCACGAGGGGACATTTCTGGCAGTGCCTGTTTCCCACATTGTGTGATTGATTACGCTCTCCCCCTTAGAAGAGTTGATTGGTTTCCTGGTGCCAGGAAAATGATTGATGAATATTTCAGGCCATGGGCCTCTCTTCCTGCTGGGTGTCCTTTTCACATGTCTCCAATGGGCCTGGGGATTTTTTTCAAGACTAGGAAGTGTCATTTTTATGGATATCACCCTGTGATAGGGACAGTTCACTGAGCAGAGGCCCCGTGTAAATCCGAGTGAAATACTAAAGGTCAACTCAAGTGTTAAGGTGATGGACTCAATCAGCACGTACCAGGTAAGCAGGAGAACAGCACTGGGCAAAGAAAAGCTTCACAAAGCAGCAAAACAGGAGGCAATGAGCAGCCACACCCTGAGCTTGCTACTGCAAACTGGCAGCAGCAAACTGGTACCCAACACTGGCATCTTTCCTCAGTTTCCTTCAATTTTGTAAAACACCACAACTAAGGTAAATTTGCAGGTAAAAAAATTTGCTTTTGACCCACAGAAAGGGCATTTCCTTACTGCTGTTGATAAAACAGGCAGAGGATGTGGAGTCTCCTGGCAAGAGCACACACAAGACATCTGAAGCAACAATATACTTAGGAATAATTCCTTCTAAGTATTGCCAAAAAACATAGAACTACAGCTGTAAGAGTGAATGAAGAGATTTTTGGAGGACAAGTTGGTGTTTGGCAGAACTTTCAGAGACTCAAAGTTCTTTTACAGATTTTTACTACAGCCACAACAGCCATCATTTAATCACTTGGCTTCAGGATCTGAGGGCTCCAAAGCAATTCCCACAGGTAAACCCCGGGCTTCTCAGAGCTGGGGGGTTTTACCCAACAAGAGAATTTTGAGATTTAGTCCCCAGGACTTCACAGTTCCAGATTATGTTTCCATAAAAACTATTTAAGGTTTCTATCACGTTCCAGCTGAGAGGTATTTCCAGACAAGGACATCACAGCAGTTTGCAGTCAGCTTGGCACGAGAGCCGTGATAAATTTTTCCTGTTTTTTTTTTTTTTCCTGATGTGTTCGTGAAGGGAAAACGGGTTTAAAAAAAATTAATCTTTCACACGGACCAGACATTTCTCTAAGTTTAAATTTCACCACCCCTACAAGCCCATAGCTGGGATGGTTAAGCAACGGGAGGCAGACATGTAACTTGTGCTCTCTGAAGGACGTGGGGTCCACCCTGAGTAAATGAAACCTCCTTATCGAAGCACTGGAGGAGAACTCAGATACTCCAGGCATATACTGCTTTCAAGATAAGTTATGGGCAATCATTTACCAATAAAGAACTTCACTGAAGCCTCTCCGTGGTGCATTTCCTCTTTCTAACAAAACCTGTACAGAATCATTTTTATCAACATATAAAATCTGTAAGTCTTCTAATTATGTAATTAGAACTGTAATAATTAAGACC